ATATCCACATGCAAAAGATAGTCGGACCTCTTCCTTACACCATATGCAAAAATTAACTCCAATTGTAATAACTAAATCTATAAAACTCTTAGAAGAAAACATAGGAATAAATCTTGATGACCTTGGATTAGGCAGTGATTCCTTAGATACGACAACAAAAGCAGAAGCAACAAAAGAAAAAAGTAAATCATCAAAATTTAAAAATTTAGAGCTCTAAATGATACCATCAAGAAAATGAGAAGACAGCCCACAGAATGCAAGAAAATACTGGCAAGTCAAGCCCTGACCAGCATAGATCACTTGGTTGAGTGTCATCCCACAAGGCAAAGGATCGCTAGTTCAATTCCCAGTCCGGTCACATGCCTGGGTTGCAGACCCAGTCCCTGGTTGGGGTGCATGCAAGAGGCAGCTAATTGATGTTTCTCTCACACATGGTGTTTCTGTCCCTCTCTTCCTCCCTTCTCCTCTCTCTAAAAATAAATAAATATTTTTTAAATAAAAAGAAAATACTAACAAATCACAGATTTGATAAGGGGTTTATATCCAGAGTACAGGGGTGGGCAAGAGTAGGTTTACAGTTGTGAGTACACAAAACACAGAATTAATAAAGCTATTGTAATAATCATAACCCAAATGTCTTTATCCACACAAACAACTATAAACCTACTTTGCCCACCCCTATATATAAAGAATTTTTACGACTCAATAATAAAGGCAAAAAATACAATTAAAAATGGGCAAATTATCAGAATAGACATATCTCCAAAGAAGGTACACAACAGCCCTGGCTGGTGTAGCTCAGTGGATTGAGTGCGGGCCTGCGAACCAGACAATCGCGGTTCGATTCCCAGTCAGGGCACATGCCTGGGTTGTAGGCCAATTCCCGGCAGGGGACGCACGAAAGGCAACCATACATTGATATTTCTCTCCCTTTTTCCTTCCCTTCCCCTCTAAAGATAAATAAATAAAATCTTAAAAAATAATAATAATAAAAAGAAGATACACAACAAAAATGACCAATCAGCACCTGAAAAGATGTGGACATCATTAGCCATGAGGGTAATGTAAATGAAAACCATAATGAGATACCACTTCACAACCAAAACACGAATATCACAAGTGTTGCGGAGGATGTAGAGAGATTGGAACCCTCATACATGGCTGGTGAGATTTTAAAATGGTGCGGCTGCTTTGGAAAATAGTGGCAACTCCATAAAGGCTTAACAGGAAAGTACAATATAATTCAGTAACTCCACTCGTAGGTATATGTACCCAAGAGAAATGAAGATATGTTCACATGAAAACTTGTTTGTGAATGTTTGGAGCAGCACCGTTTCTAATAACTAGAAAGTAGAAATGACGCAAATGTTTATGAACCAATGAATATATTAACAAAATGTGATATATCTGACAACAGGCCAAGGTGGAGGCATAGGTGGAAACACTGTGCCTCCTCACACAACCAAGTTTAAAGACAACAAAGTTTTAGTAACAAAAATGCAACCAACACACAAAATTGAATTGTACGGAAGTCCGACAACAACAAACCATTCATCCAGACCAGTAAGAGAGGCAGAGTCAGCAGCTGGTGGAGTGGGGTGGCGCAGCAAAAGGTGGCCAGACCAACCCAGGTGCGCAGGCAGCGGTTGGCAGATCCCAGGCACAGGGTAGCAACAGGTGGACCCAGTGAGGGCGAAAGGTGGCTGGCTGACCACAGTCACACATTCATGCGCAGATAACCCAGGCAGAGGAGCGAGCAGTGAGACAGACCACACATACTAGGGCCCCAGAGCTGGGAATTAAAGCCTAAAAGCACCAATTGGAAAAGCTTTCAGGGTTGAGGTGAAGGGAGAGGCTCCCAGCCTCACAGGAGAGTTAATTGGAGAGACCCACACAGTCCTAGAATGTACAGAAGCCCACACACCCAGGAACCAGCACCAGAAGGGTACGGTTTGCTTGTGGGAAGTGGTATAGGGGACCAAAATCTGAGAGAGAGCAGAACAAATGCTACTGGTCTCCCTCTGACCCACCCCCAGTCACAACCCAGCGACTGGGTTGACCTGCCCTGATGAACACCTAAGGATCCACCCCTCACTACATAATAGGCGTGACCAGACCAAAACATGGCTCAAGCAGAAGAACATTTCAAAGACTCAGAGCCAATACTTCTAGTCCACCAAGAGATAGCCAACCTATCAGATGCACAGTTCAAAACACTGGTGATCAGGATGCTCACAGAACTGATTTTAGTCACAAATTAGAGAACAAATGAAGGCTAAACTAAGTGAAATGAAGGGAAATGCACAGGAAACCAATAGTGATGGAAAGGAAGCTGGGACTCAAATCAAGAGAGTGGACCAGAAGGAAGAAAAAAACGAACAAACAAAAGAATGAAGAAACAAGAATTCAAAAAAATGAGGAGAGGCTTAGGAACCTCCAGGACATCTTTAAACGTTCCAACATCTGAATTATAGGGGTGCCGGAAGGGGAAGAGGAACAGCCACGAGGGGAAAACTTATCTGAACAAATAATAAAAGAGAACTTTCCCAATCTGGCAAAGGCAATAGACTTCCAGGAAATCCAGGAAGCTCAGAGAGTCCCAAAGAAGTTGGACCCAAGGAGGAACACACCAAGACACATCATAATTACATTAGCCAAGATTAAAATGAAGGAGAGAATCCTAGAAGCAGCAAGAGATAAGGGGACAGTCACCTACAAAGGAGTTCCCATCAGACTGTCAGCTCGTTTCTCAAAAGAGATTTTACAGGCAAGAAGGGGCTGGAAAGAGGTATTCCAAGTCATGAAATCCAAAGACCTACATCCAAGATCGCTCTATCCAGCAAAGCTTTCATTTAGAATGGAAGGGCAGATAAAGTGCTTCTCAGATAAGATCAAATTCAAGGAGTTCATCATCACCAAGCCCTTATTATATGAAATGTTAAAGGGACTTACCTAAGAAAAAGAAGATAAAAAAGATGAACAGTGAAAGGACAGCAAACTCACAGTTATTAACAACCACACCTCAAACAAAAGCAAACTAAAAGGACAGCTAGATCAGGAGTGGAACCATAGAAATGGAGATCACATGGAGGATTAGCAACAGGGGAGTGGGGGGAGGAGAAGGGGGGAAAAGGTACAGAGAATAAGTAGCATAGACGGTAGGTAGAAAATAGGGGTGAGGGCAAGAATAGTATGGGAAATATAGAATCTAAAGAATTTGTGACACATGGACATAAACTAAAGGGGGGAATGGTGGGGGAGGGGTGCAGGGTGGAGGGGAATGAAGGGGAGGAAATGGGACAACTGTAATGGCATAATCAATAAAATACATTTTTTTAAATGTGATTATATAGTGGAAAATTGTTCAACCATGAGAAGGATTGAAGTGCTGATACATGCTACAACATGGACAAAGCTTGAAAACATGTTAAATATAAGAAGGCAGTCACAAAAGACCGTATACTGTATGAGTCCATTTCTGTCAAATATCCAAAATAGTCAAATCTGTGGAGACAGAAAGTAGATTAGCAGTTGCCTAGGGCTGGGAGGTTTGGCTGCTGGTTGGGAAAGAGAGGAGTAAATGTGGAGTGATTGCTGATAGGTATGAGGTTTCTTTTGGGAGTGATGAAAATGTTCTAAACTTGATTGTGATGATGGTTGTACAACTCTGAATATACTAAAAACCATTGAATTGTACACTTTAACCAGGTAAATTGTATATGTGAAATATATCTCAGTGAACCTGTTATTTAAAAAGAAGGTTATTGCTGGGGTCAGGTTTTTAAATAACCTGCTAAGGAATTTGAAATTTATTCTATAGATAAGAGAAGCCAAAACTAGAAAGGAATGATGATTAACAGGTTAGTACGTGTTGAATGCTTAGTACATTGCTTGGCATGTAATAAGCATTCCATAGATGTTGTTCTTGTTTCAGATCTGGTTTTTAAAAAATCACTCAGGCTCTAATATGGAAAGTTTATTCAAGGGAAATGGGTAATACCGAAGGTAAGATTATTTAGGAGATTGTTATAATCCAAGCCAGAGTTGATGAAGCTAGAATGGTGGTAGTGGGATGGATTTGCAATACCAAAGTGATTTGCTTATTGTCACACTAGGAGTTTTCTCATTGGTTGCAAATTTATTTTGCCCTCATTTATTCCTGACAGAAGTCATTCCACAAAAAGCCAGGCATCACGGCATGAAGAGCATGTGCAGAACATCCGCCGATTTCATGAATCCCTGCAGCAGGGAGAGGCTATCTTGCCGAGTGATGACAAACTGACCACATCACCTGTGTCCTCCCATACTTCCATTCTGACTTCTCTCAGGTGAGGCCCTCTAACTATAGTGGAGCACAAGGTGAATGGGCAAGGCAACCTGCAGCACAGCTTTTCCATCAGCTACTGACACTCTGCGAGGTTTAATAGGGGCCTTCATGCATGTTAGTGTTGAATTAGACCCAGGTGCCCTGCACGATTCCTCATAGGTCAGACTGTCTCAGCTTGGGGCCTTTTATTCCTTCATGAGGCTCTATTACTGATGCAACATAAATACAGGAACTCTAGATTATTTACCACACTTAATGATAATGACCCTCACATCTACACAGCCTCTCATCTACTTTACAATTTACAAAGCTTTATTCTGCCCAATGTCTTTATCCTCACAACCACTGAATTCTTCCAGACCATCATCTATCCTAATATTTCCCTGTTCCTTTGTTAGCTTAGTCAGCATCTGAGCCAGAGAAGCACTGTAAGAATTGAAAAGGTCATTATAGATCATCTGGGTCAGTCCCTGGATTGTCTAGTAAGAAGTATGGTGCAGTGTAAAGGACCTGGCTTCAGAGTCAGACAGGCTTGGCTTCCTATGAGGCCTGCAGGGCAAATATTAATAAACCTTTTTTCACGGATGACAGTATTGCAACTAATGTTAGTAGGTTCTACACCCAGAATCTCTGACAAGGCCAGTTGGGTTTGCATATTTTCTAAAGTGTCACCATGTTTACGTCTGTTTGCATGTTCCTGCTACAGGTATTTATCCATGTGGCATACACCCAGATACAGACACCTAAGCAAATCTACTGTGATTTGATAGTCACAGCTTTTAGTGACAGAATAAAGATAAGCTTTGTCCTCTCATTTAGTTTGGGTTTATCTCTAAGATATGCAGACTGTTCCTAACAAAAGAATAGAAAGACTTCTGGTTTACTTCATGGGTATTTAGTATCTATGTTGTGCCAGTTGTATCAAGCACATTCAGTGTACTAGAGAAACAGAGAAGTTCGAGATATTATCTTCTATTACCAGATGCTCATGGCCTAGTTAGGTATACTAAACTAACACATAATGAGAAAACTAAAGGAAAATCTCAGTCAGCAGATCACTGGAGATGTCAGGAGTAAAGGAGTTAAAGGAGGAGTTGGCCCAATGATTTGGGTTGATGGACTCTGAAAAGGAGAAATGAGTACCTTAAAAGTTGAAAGGAATAGGGACAGAGCAGAGTAGCTTGAACTCAGGTTCCAGCATTCAGAGCTGTGAGACAGGAATGAACCCAGTTGGGATAGGGTCGATCTATTATCATGCAAAAAGCATAAGACTTGGAGTCCCAAATTCTAGGTAGCTGCATACCACTCACCCTGGACAGATCACTTAAATTCTCTGATCCTCATTCCTTACCTGTAAAACAGTAATTACTGATCACTTCTGGGTGGCTGAGAATTATGAAATACATAAACAAGGTAATGTATTTGAAAGCATAACATAAAATCCTATTCAAGTGAAGGTGGTAGTGGTTGGTGTGATTCTCACTGGAGAAAGGAAAGAATGAATGCAGCCCTCCTTTCCTTGCTGATGGCACTCTCACAAACATAGTGAACATTCCTAAAACTCACTGGACTTTCTATAAGAAGTATGGCAGATATCAACCCCACAAAGTACAGTACAAGAAGAGCAAGGATTCTCTGTGTGCACAGGGAAAGCAGCATTTTGACAGGAAACAGAATGGCTGTGGTGGGCAGACTAAGCCAATTTTCCACAAAATGCCTAAATTTACAAAGAAGACTGTGCTGAGGCTTGAATACATTGAGTTCAACTGCAGAGGTAAGAGAGTGCTGGCTATTAAGAGATGCAAGCATTTTGAACTGGAAGGCGATAAGAAGAGAAAGGGCCAAGTGATCCTAAGCTTCATATTTAGTTTTATTATGTGATGGTAAAATCTTGAGGATTTGTTCACTTAAAAAAAAAAAAGAAAAAATGTGGCCCAATTAAAGGTTTTTGAGCAGATTATTTTAAGTAATTTATTTGTGTCTATATTTCCCTAAAGGAATCAGTACAGAGCTCATAGTTTATCAGAGGAAAGAGATGTGAAACAAACAAGTGATATGATTGAAGAGTATGGAAAGAGCAGTAGCCCCTAAGCCAACATAGAGGGTCAGGAAAGCCTTGCTAGCAGAGGTCACTTGCTTGAAAGATCAGGAATGGTTATGAGGTAGCAAAGGTTATTGTTAGCCCAGAGTAAGGCTTTACTCCATCAGAGGTAGAGGACCTGAGGACATAATCAAGAGTGGTTTTCTACAGGAAGATGTGATTTTTGCAAGACATCAGAAGAGAAATTGCATGAGCTAGACAGAAGCTGGAGAAAGTTGCCCCTGGGAGTGAGATTGTAGTCAGAAGTGAAGGATGAGTTGGTGGATTGGAGAGAGATAGTCAAAGTATATACAGACTAAGCGAGAGGTACTAAGTTCCTAGCCCAAGCAATAGAATGTCAGGGAAACATAAAAGATGCATATAACTTCAGGTCAAGTTGGTAGTGTAAGCAGACTTGGCTCGCCTTTTCACACAACCACATCAAAATTACAACTAAAATATAAAACAACTATCACTTAGAGCCATCAGAAATCAAGTTAAATGAAAGTCTTACAACTACGGAATTAAAGAAACCACATCCATCCATTCAGACTGGTAGGAGACATGCAGACACAGAATGGGCTGGTGTCTCACTGAATGTGTGATGGATAAAAATTCAGGAGGGATGTCTTAGGAGTGAGAAGTCCCAGCACCACAGCAGGCCCCCCAGCCCAGGGTTCCAGTACCAGAAGGTAAGTCCCCACAACTTCTGGCTGCAAAACCAGCAGGGATTGAGTCAGTGGAAGGAAATTCTAGAGCCTCAGGCAGTTACTCTTAACCCACACATGGACTCACCTACTCAGACTCAGTCCCTCTGAGCTCCAGCACCCCCATAACTTAGCCCCCAGAGCTCCAGCACCAGGGTAGCAGCTTGAAAAGCACCAGTGACATACTGGGAGAAACTGAAGTGTCTGGCATCAAGACAAGCAGAGACCATTGTCTCTGTTTTAATCCCTCCCCACATAGAGTCAGCAAGCTGATGCCATATCTGAGACTCCATCAACCTAGCTTACACTGTTTGACCCACCTTGGGGATCCCCAGAGATTCCACCCCACCCAATTTATAGGCCCACCCATGCTGCTCTTCCATATGAATGGCTGGCTGGTCTTGGTTCATGCTTTACAACTTCCTAAATCCTATCAAATAAGCTATAGCTGGCGTCAGTGAGCCCCAGGGTGAGTTGACACTAGCAGCAGCCAGCCTAGGTCCACAGCTTGGCTTTGCCTGGGAATCTCCAAGCTCAGTACAAGTAGCAACCATCTCATATTGCTTTATGCCCCATTCAGTGTGGCCCCAGGCAAAACACAGGTGAGGGCTGACCTTGGTCTGCACCACCTAGAAAACACCAGGGCCAGCACATCCAGTGGACAGTTAAAGACTACATCAGAGCATTACCACCCTGCCCCTGCACTGCTAATCCTCCATGAGGGTGGAGGTTGGTGGTAATAGGTCACAGCAAATCCTTGCAGCTGAGTGGCCTGAGTAAATCCCTGGCATTGACCTGCCAACAGCAGTCAAGGCTCAACTACAAGAGGAGGGTATACTCAGCCCACACAAAGGGCTAACCCCAAATACCCAGCTTGGGTGATAGAAAAAGCTGTGCCACTGGAACCTATGGGATACCTACTACATTAGACCATACTACCGTGACATAGAGTTAAGCAGCTCTACCTAATATATAGAAACAAACACAGGAAGGCTGCCAAAACTAGGAGACAAAGAATCATGGCCCAAATGAAAGAACAGAACAAAACTCCAGAAAAAGAGCTAATTGAAATGGAGATAAACAATCTATTCGAATCAGAGCTCAAAACACTGGTTATAAGAATGTTCAAGGAACATAGTGGAGACCTCATTAACATAAAAAAAGGTCCAGTTAGAAAGGAAGAATACACTAATTAAAATAAAGAACAGTTTACGGAGAAACAGCAGTAGAGTGGATGAAGCTGAAAATCAAATCAATGATTTGGAACATAAGAAAACAATAAACAACCAGTCAGAACAACCGAAGAAAAGATTTCCCCCAAAATGAGGATAGTATAAGCAGCCTCTGGGACAATTTCAAGAGGTCGATCATTCACATCGTTAGGGTGCCAGAAGAAGCAGAGAAAGAGGAAGAAATTGGAAATCTATTGGAAAAAATAATGAGAGAAAACTTCCCTAAATTGGTTAAAGAAATAGACATTCAAGACCAGGAAACACAGAAAGTCCCAAACAAGATGGATGCAAAGAGTCCCACTGCAAGATACATCATAATTTAATATGCCAAAGGTTAAAGACAAAGAAAAATCTTAAAGGCAGCAAGAGAAGAGAAGTTAGTTACCTACGGGGGAGTTCCCATAAGACTGTCAGCTGATTTCTCAAAAGAAAATCTGCAGGCTAGAAGAGATAAACAAGAAATGTTCAAAGTCATGAAAATAAAGAGCTTCCCAGACAAGAAAAAACTAAAGGAGTTCACTATCACCAAGCCATTATTTTTTTTCCACTTAAAAAAAAATTTTACTTGATTTTATTGATTATGCCATTACAGTTGTTCTATTCCCCCCTTCATTCCCCTCCACCCTCCACCCCCCACCCCCACCATTCCCCCCCTTTAGTTTATAACCATGTGTCTCAAGTCCTTTAGATTCTGTATTTCCCCTACTATTGTTGCCCTCCCCCCTATTTTCTACCTACCATCCATGCTACTTATTTTTTGTACCTTCCCCCCACTTCTCCTCCCACTCCCCTGTTGCTAACCCTCCATGTGATCTCCATTTCTATATTTCCACTCCTGATCTAGCTGTCCTTTTAGTTTGCTTTTGTTTTAGGTGTGGTCGTTAATAATTGTGAGTTTGCTGTCCTTTCACTGTTCATCTTTTTTATCTTCTTTTTCTTAGGTAAGTCCCTTTAACATTTCATATAATAAGGGCTTGGTGATGATGAACTCCTTGAATTTGATCTTATCTGAGAAGCACTTTATCTGCCCTTCCATTCTAAATGAAAGCTTTGCTGGATAGAGCGATCTTGGATGTAGGTCTTTGGATTTCATGACTTGGAATACCTCTTTCCAGCCCCTTCTTGCCTGTAAGATGTCTTTTTTGAGAAATGAGCTGACAGTCTGATGGGAACTCCTTTGTAGGTGACTGTCCCCTTATCTCTTGCTGCTTCTAGGATTCTCTCCTTCATTTTAATCTTGGCTAATGTAATTATGATGTGTCTTGGTGTGTTCCTCCTTGGGTCCAACTTCTTTGGGACTCTCTGAGCTTCCTGGATTTCCTGGAAGTCTATTGCCTTTGCCAGATTGGGAAAGTTCTCTTTTATTATTTGTTCAGATAAGTTTTCCCCTCGTGGCTGTTCCTCTTCCCCCTTCCGGCACCCCTATAATTCAGATGTTGGAACGTTTAAAGATGTCCTGGAGGTTCCTAAGCCTCTCCTCATTTTTTGAATTCTTGTTTCTTCATTCTTTTGTTTGTTCATTGTTTTCTTCCTTCTGGTCCACTCCCTTGATTTGAGTCCCAGCTTCCTTTCCATCACTATTGGTTTCCTGTGCATTTCCCTTCATTTCACTTAGTTTAGCCTTCATTGGTTCTCTAATTTGTGACTAAAATCAACCAGTTCTGTGAGCATCCTGATCACCAGTGTTTTGAACTGTGCATCTGAAAATTTTGCTATTTCTTTGTGGCTTAGAGTTATGGGCTCTGGGGCTTTGTGTTCTTCTTGAGCCATAATGTTTTGGTCTGTTTGGGACCGTTAAGTATGAGAAGCGAAGCCTTAGGTGTTCACCAGGGCAGGGCCGCCCAGGTCGCTGGGTTGTAACACTGTATGTGGGGACGGGGTCAGAGTGGGGCAATGGCGGGCCCCCTCTGCTGCTTCCTGCAGCTGGCGCCTGGTCGGTCCATCTCACTGCTCACTCTTTCGCATGGTCTATATGACTATGGTCCGCCTACCACCCTGCGTCCTCGCTGGGTCTGCCTGTTGCTCACTGGGTCCGCCCATTGCAACCCCACGCCTGGGATCCACGCGCCCAAGTCGGTCTGACTGAGTTTTCCTGTGCAACCCTGCTCCGCCAGCAGCTGGCTTCACCCCTCTTACCGGTCTGGCTGAAGAATTAGTTGTTATCAGACTTCCAAAAAGTTCAGTTTCCTGTGGCTTGGCTGTGTTTTCTGTTGCTAAAATTTTGTTGTCTCTAAACTTGGTTGTATGAGAAGGCACGGCGTCTCCACCTATGCCTCCATCTTGGCTGAAGTCCCTGACCAAGCCATTATTATATGAGATATTAAAGGGATTTATTTAAGAAAAAGAAAAGCAATAAAGTGACAAAAAATACATATCTGTTAACAATTGAATCTAAAAAACAAAATAAGCAAATAAGAACAGAGATAGAGTCATGGATACAGAGAACATTTTAATAGTTGCCAGATGGGAGGGGTGCATGGGGGAATGGGTGATAGGTGAGGGGATTAAGATGCACAAATTGGTAGTTACAGAATAGCCATGGTGATGTACAGTACAGTATAGGAAGTGAAATAGCCAAAGAACTTATATACATGGCTTATGGACATGAACAATGGTAGAGGAATTGCTTGAGGGTGTGGGGGACACTGAGTGGAGGGGAGCAAAAGGGGAAAAATCAAGACAACTGTAATAGCATAATCAATATAATACAATTTTTTTTAAAGATGGGTATAATCCCAGTGAATGGCTCTTTTGTCTCTTTCCCCTTCTTTTTCTATAGGAGGAATCTGAGTGAGTTAGATCAGATTCAGCGGTACTTCAGCCAGAAGCTCACCAAGCCTTTACTTCCCCTCAGTCCTGAGACTCAGATCATGTCGCAGTTCCAAGCAAGCCCTGCTAGAGACCATGGT